CTGAACAGAGTGAACAACTTTGCTTCCTGCAAAGGTTTTGTCACCTTTGCCTATCCTTTATACCTTATAGGAGGGGTAATCACCTCCAAGCCTTACTCCCGAGTCACCCCTTTTGTCTTAGCTGCTCTTGCCTTCTGGCAGCTCTGCACACATGCGCACTGGCAACAGGCTCCCCTTGTTCCTCTTCCTCGCTGCTGTAAGATTCTGGAGGCTCCAGAGTCAGCACATCACTCCCAGATGGTTCTGGCCCCATCTCTGCATCGGATGCAGGACCCTCGTCCAAGTCCTCTCCAGACTCCCCATTCTTCCCCACTGTCCGATTCCGCTGCCATCTGCACAGACTGCCGCTGAACCACAACAACAGCCGGTTCTTGACTTATGACTGCAGTTGAGCCCAAAATGTCCATTGCTAAACAAAACTGTTCATAAGTGAGTTTTACTCCATTTTACTACCATTCTTGCCACGGTTGTTAAGTGAATCACTGCAGTTGTTAGGTTAGTAACATGGTTTAAGTGAATCTGGCTTCCCCATTGACCCTGCTTCTCAGAAGGTCACAAAAAGTGATCACATGACCCCAGGACAATGCAACCATCATAAATATGTGCCAGTTGCCAAGCATCCAAATTCTGATCATGTGACCATGGGGAAGCTACAATGATTAGTGCCACTGTAACTTTACAATGGTCATTAAACAAATGGTTGGAAGTCAAGGAACTGGAAACGTCACACAATTCACTCCAAAATATCTTGAGAAATAAACTGGGAACTCTTCCCAACATCTTATTTTAAAATGGATAAAAACCCCAAACCAAAAAGGGACCAGTTAGATTTCATGGAACAAAATAACGTCCCCTTACCATTTCTGCAAAATAATTTTTAAGAAGGCATCATTAATGGCTGCCCAACAACAAAATATTTCCTTAACACCAAAGGTTTGGCAACAGCTAAGTCTGAAGTTTTTCCAGAAATTCTGTGAAATATTTTAGTGAACTTGGCATGAAGCAGCACAGAGCGCCTTTAATTTTACACATAAATTTTAGGGATTGTAGAGAGTATACACAGCTCAGAATTGGATTTTTCGGAATTTGGTTTTCAGCTCTATGTATTTCCTTACCTACCTAAGTAACCAAATCTAATATTGTTCTATTATTTATTTCATTAATATTTTGTCCTGTGTATTAATATTTTGTCCTAAGTGTGTGTGTGTATGTGCATGCACACTGTGATGCGATAGATAGATAGATAGATAGATAGATAGATAGATAGATAGATAGAT